TTGAGGTCCCCTGAATCCGTTTTGACTATTTTCGCAATGATGTCTGTCTGTGTGTGTGTGTGTGTGTGTGTGTGTGTGTGTGTGTGTGTGTGTGTGTGTGTGTGTGTGTGTGTGTGTGTGTGTGTGTGTGTGTGTGTGTGTGTGTGTGTGTGTGTGTGTGTGTGTGTGTGTGTGTGTGTGTGTGTGTGTGTGTGTGTGTGTGTGTGTGTGTGTGTGTGTGTGTGTGTGTGTGTGTGTGTGTGTGTGTGTGTGTGTGTGTGTGTGTGTGTGTGTGTGTGTGTGTGTGTGTGTGTGTGTGTGTGTGTGTGTGTGTGTGTGTGTGTGTGTGTGTGTGTGTGTGTGTGTGTGTGTGTGTGTGTGTGTGTGTGTGTGTGTGTGTGTGTGTGTGTGTGTGTGTGTGTGTGTGTGTGTGTGTGTGTGTGTGTGTGTGTGTGTGTGTGTGTGTGTGTGTGTGTGTGTGTGTGTGTGTGTGTGTGTGTGTGTGTGTGTGTGTGTGTGTGTGTGTGTGTGTGTGTGTGTGTGTGTGTGTGTGTGTGTGTGTGTGTGTGTGTGTGTGTGTGTGTGTGTGTGTGTGTGTGTGTGTGTGTGTGTGTGTGTGTGTGTGTGTGTGTGTGTGTGTGTGTGTGTGTGTGTGTGTGTGTGTGTGTGTGTGTGTGTGTGTGTGTGTGTGTGTGTGTGTGTGTGTGTGTGTGTGTGTGTGTGTGTGTGTGTGTGTGTGTGTGTGTGTGTGTGTGTGTGTGTGTGCGCGTGGGTGCGTGCGTGCGTGCGTGCGTGCGTGCGTGCGTGCGTGCGTGCGTGCGTGCGTGCGTGCGTGCGTGCGTGCGTGCGTGCGTGCGTGCGTGCGTGCGTGCGTGCGTGCGTGCGTGCGTGCGTGCGTGCGTGCGTGCGTGCGTGCGTGCGTGCGTGCGTGCGTGCGTGCGTGCGTGCGTGCGTGCGTGCGTGCGTGCGTGCGTGCGTGCGTGCGTGCGTGCGTGCGTGCGTGCGTGCGTGCGTGCGTGCGTGCGTGCGTGCGTGCGTGCGTGCGTGCGTGCGTGCGTGCGTGCGTGCGTGCGTGCGTGCGTGCGTGCGTGCGCGCGTGTGTGTGTGGTGTGTGTGTGGTGTGTGTGTGTTGTGTGTGTTGTGTGTGTGTTGTGTGTGTTGTGTGTGTGTGGTGTGTGTGTGTGGTGTGTGTGGTGTGTGTGTGTGGTGTGTGTGGTGTGTGTGGTGTGTGTGTGTGGTGTGTGTGTGTGTGTGTGTGTGTGTGTGGTGTGTGTGGTGTGTGTGGTGTGTGTGGTGTGTGTGTGTGGTGTGTGTGGTGTGTGTGGTGTGTGTGTGTGTGGTGTGTGTGTGTGTGTGTGTGTGTGTGTGTGTGTGTGTGTGTGTGTGTGTGTGTGTGTGTGTGTGTGTGTGTGTGGTGTGTGTGGTGTGTGTGGTGTGTGTGTGTGGTGTGTGTGTGTGGTGTGTGTGGTGTGTGTGGTGTGTGTGTGTGTGTGTGTGTGTGTGTGTGTGTGTGTGTGTGTGTGGTGTGTGTGTGTGTGTGGTGTGTGTGTGTGTGTGTGTGCATGTGCGTGTGTGTGTGCGTGTGCGTGTGCGAGTGCGAGTGCGAGTGCGAGTGTGTGTGTGTGTGCGAGTGTGTGTGCGTGTGCGTGTGCGCGTGTGGGCATGTGGGCGTGTGTGCGTGTGTGCGTGCGTGCGTGTGTGCGTGTGTGCGTGTGTGCGTGTGTGCGTGTGTGGGTGTGTGCGTGTGCGTGTCTGTGCGTGTGTGTGTGGGTCGCATAACTCATTAACCGATACACAGAAAAACACCAAATTTTAAACTTAAGCTTTATTCCAGCGTCTAATGAACTGATTAGATTTTGGGCAGAGTCGGAACATCTGGGGGGGTACTTTATATGTGGTCATTTTTATATTTTATGGAATATATCTGTTATTTACGTTTGGAGAGGAAAATTCTTTAAATAAAAGTTACTTCTAATATCTAATATCTATAATTTTTATTTTATACAAAATTTTCCTAAAATTGTCCGTATTCGAGAAATTTGATAAAATGTAAAAAAAATAATTTTTTATAAAAATTGTTCAAATAAAAGTTGTTTGTGATATAATTCTCTATAATTTTTATTCCATACATAATTTTTCTAAAATGGACCGTATTCGAGATATTTGAGAAAATGTGTAAATTGCGAATTTTGAAGAAAACTCAAAAACGGATAAAGAAAAAAACATTAAATTTTAAACTTAAGTTTTATTTCTGCCTGACGTGAAATGATTATATTTTGGACAAAGTTGGAACATCTGGGGGGGTACTTTATGGGAGGCCGTTTCTATATTTTATGGAATATATCTGTTATTTATGTTTGGATAAGAAAATTGTCCAAATAAAAGTTACTTCTAATATTATTATCTATAATTTTTGCCTTATGTCAAAATTTCCTGAAAAGGTCCATATTTGAGAAATTTGACAAAATGTGCAAAATTCTGATTTTTATGAAAATTGTTGAACTAAAAGTTGTTTGCGATATCGATCTCTATAATTTTTTTTATACATGATTTTTCTAAAATGGACCGTAATGAAAAAGTGCTAAATTTAAATTTTTCAGTATTTTCGTTTTCAATGAATATCTATAGAAAAATGTTTCGAGGTAGATGTATGTGGACAATGTGTATGTTTAGTTTATCCTCTAAACATTTATAGAGATGCTGCAATAGGTTGTACAAAAGAACAGGAAAAAGCCTATAATAACTAGATAGGAAAGTCATGTGTTGGACACATCAGATTTTTTAAATTAATGAATTATTTTGACTTACACATCATACAGTGCTTCAAAAATTGTATTTTAGACTATTATATTTTATTGTTGTTAATTCTAAGTTAGATATGAGTTGATAAATAATCCAATAATTATGCATTTTATTGGTGGGAATAAATAAAATAACCAATAATAATTATCAGCAGATCACTAATTTAGGAATTTTGACAAATAAAATCACTACAAATTTATTAGTATAATTTAAATAATAATATTGGGAATTGATAGTAAAACACTTAAAATCATTATAGTCGATAAATTAAAATATATAAATAACAGTGTTTTATGTAATAAATACATAATATGTAAAATGTTTATATAATTTAGATGTAAAAATAATTATGATCATTGCCACTACTTTTACTAATAAATAAAGAAACTTCTAATAATTTTATTTTCATTTGTTTGATTTTTTGTAATTATTGCCCTATTGCTTTTTACTTTCCTATCTGTATACAGATATAAGGAAAGTATAGGAATCATGACTTTTTTCGACCTCGAGTTTTCGACGGATTTTTACGTTTTGAGGTCTGTGTGTCTGTGTGTCGCATAACTCGTGAACCGATACACAGAAAAACACCATATTTTAAACTTAAGCTTTGTTCCAGCGTCAAATGAACTGCTTAGATTTTGGGCAGAGTCGGAACATCTGGGGGGTACTTTATAGGTATTCATTTTTATATTTTATGGAATATATCTGTTATTTATGTTTGGAGAAGAAAATTCTTTAAATAAAAGTTACTTCTAATATTATTATCTATAATTTTTGTTTTATACAAAATTTTCCTAAAATGGCCCGTATTTGAGAAATTTGACAAAATGTAAAAAAAATCATTTTTTATAAAAATTGTTTGAATAAAAGTTGTTTGTAATATAATTCTCTATAATTTTTGTTTTACACATAATTTTTCTAAAATGGACCGTATTCGAGATATTTGAGAAAATGTGTAAATTGCGAATTTTGAAGACAAATCAAAAACGAATAAAGAAAAAAACAATAAATTTTAAACTTAAGTTTTATTTCGGCCTGACGTGAAATGATTAGATTTTGGACAAAGTTGGAACATCTGGGGGGGGGGGTACTTTATGGGAAGCCGTTTTTATATTTTATGGAATATGTCTGTTATTTATGTTTGGAGAAGAAAATTGTCCAAATAAAAGTTATTTCTAATATTATTATCTATAATTTTTGCCTTATATCAAAATTTCCTGAAATGGTCCGTATTCGAGAAATTTGACAAAATGTGCAAAATTCTGATTTTTAAGAAAATGTGTAAAATTCTGATTTTTATGAAAATTGTTGAACTAAAAGTTGTTTGCGATAACGATCGCTATAATTTTTGTTTATACATAATTTTTCTAAAATGGACCGTAATGGAAAAATTGGAGGCAGAGTGCTAAATTTAAATTTTTCAGTATTTTCGTTTTCAATGAATATCTATAGAAAAATGTTTCGAGGTAGATGTATGTGGAAAATGTATATATTTAGTTTATCCTCTAAACATTTATAGAGGTGCTGCAATAGGTTGTACAAAATAACCGGAAAAAGTCTATAATAACTAGATAGGAAAGTCATGTGTTGAACACGTCAGATTTTTTTTACTAGAAAATAATGCTTCGTACAAAAGTAAGTCTAAAGACCAAAAATGCTCCAAAATAATTAAAAATTTCAACAATAATTTTGGTTGTTAGAAAAAGTAGTGGCGTATCATTTTTTTCTTTAAAAATATTCAGTTCAAACCCCGTATGGACGTCTCTGGTAAAAAATTAAAAAAATATTTTACGTATAAAAATGCTTCTTAATGATTAAAAGGTGTTTTCAAAATTTCATAAAAATATCTGGAGTGATAAGAAAATTATGATAAGAAGTAATTTTTTTCTAAAACCTGTAACACCCTGTAGCTCAAAAATTAAGAGGTCTACGACATATGTTGATATTAACTTGTTCTTAAAATCACCCACTCAAGTATCGGCACTCAATTATTAAACACCCTGTATATGTCATAACCAGTCACATACAATGTCAATATACATATAACATATTTTTACCATGTGAAAAAAACCCTCCTATATTGTTATTTAAAATAATGTAAACTAATATGGCGAAAAATACGATAATTATGGATCACCGATACGGTAAACTGCACGAGAAGGGTTGGCAACATTGGATGAGGGAGGAAATGGCAATAGAATGGAAAGTGGCAAGTGAACCAGGGCCAGATAGGAAAATGGCAGGTCTGCGTTTCTTAAAGTAAAAAATATAAAATGATGCAGTGTATAATGAAAAATTGATAGTAATAATGACATTTATATGTAACAGTTAAAACCATAGATTAGGGTTAAAACATAAATCAGGTAAGAAGTTGTATTTATAGTTAGATATAGGTACCTATGTTTTGTTGCTGAATACATGAGTAAAGTATGTATTTTTATTTTTTTTATGATAATTGAACAATTTCATTGTTGCCGCGGTTAAGGATTGAAATATTTACCAATGATAAGAGAGCCGTCGTAAATCCTTATCCCCTTCACGGTCTCATATACCCCCACTATTGTTCAATATTTGAATTTGTATTATAGACACGCAAAAAAGTTTCGAATTAAAGTTATATGGATTTGAAAAACACATATTTTAAAAATATTTTTGGATATACGGGGTATTGCGTTTTCATCTGGTAAATAAAAATGTAACTCTTGTATTTTATTTTTACAGGGTGTTTCAAAAAAGTATGTCATAAATTATACCACGTATTCTTGGGTCAAAAATAGAACGATTAAACCGTACTTACCTATATACAAAAGTGCACCCAAAAATAGTTACAGGGTGTATAAGATAAAAATTTAACTGAATTTTTTTAACATTGCTCTTAAACCGTTTGACATATTTTCATGAAATTTTATATGACGTGTTGGAATACCATGACTAACAAAATCGAAGTAGAGGCAAAATATTTTTTGGGTGTCACCGCCCCTTTCTCTGTTCAACTTTTTTATAATATAAAATTTTATTAAAAATCGAACGCTACTGAAATGCAACATCTATTTGGAAACTTTTTTGTCTCTTAGTATTTGTTTGTAAAATGTTTGGTTTAGACGATACAGCCACTTAAAATGATATATTTAATGTAAATTATACGTATGCAAAAATATCAAAATTCGATTTTCATTGTTAAAACTATGTAGTAAGTGTATACAGGAGGAGAATGTAATTTTGAACACCTGTTAAATTAAATGTTTTTATTTTGATGAAATTAGTTTGTAATTTAAAAATAAACTTGATTTTGATATTTTTCATACGTAGAATTTCCATTGAATATTTTTAAGTTGTCATTTCAAATGGCTGTATCGTCTAAACTAAACTTTTTACAAACAAATACTAAGAGACAAAAAAGTTTCCAAATGGATGTTGGATTCATTTAGCGTTTCATTTGTAATTAAATTTTATACTACAAAAAAGTTGAATAGAGAAAGGGGCGGTGACAACCTCCAAAATCCTACAAAAATAAAAAAAAATATTTTGCCTCTACTTCGATTTTGTTATTCATGGTATTCCAACACGTCATATAAAATTTCATGAAAAAATGTCAAACGGTTTAAGAGCAATGTTAAAAAAATTCATTTAAATTTTTATCTTATACACCCTAACTATTTTTGGGTAAACTTTTGTATATAAGTAAGTACGGTTTAATCGTTCTATTTTTGACCCAAGAATACGTGGTATAATTTATGACATACCTTTTTGAAACACCCTGTAGAATGGTTTGGTAATACTGTATTCAACTATAAAATGTGTTTAAAAAATGTTACGTGTTGCCATGCAATTAATTTTATTTTATATTAGAGAATGATGCAGACCCCCACATTAAATTATCATAATTTAGGTAGGTTTACATTATTTTCAGTATTGTTTAATATACAGACTTATAAGTTAATAAGCTAACGAATAGTGCTGATAGAACTGGTTTATTCTATCCAGAGTGTTTTGAAATATATCTTAAATATGGCTAATTTTAAGTTTAATTTACTGAATTGTTTCAAATACAACACCCTGTATATTATTTTAGCATATAATTCCTTATAACTTTACCTATCCAACGATACCAACATGTTTGTCAATAACACACATGAGTGTGTAATTGACCGATAGCTGTTTTATTATTGGAAATACGAAAAACAAATAACATAATAGTTGCATGACCGTGTTTAATAAATAATCTTAAATATACAGGGTAGTCCATAAACGAGGGGCTGACCAAATCTACACAATTTTAAAGCAAAAATCCCTGCAGGTAGTTATGCATATTTGATTGTTTTCAGATCGTCAAACATTTTAATCGACATAATTTATTTGATATCTTGTATATAAGATATGTCAAAATGCGAAGTAGGTAATGATTTTCTCAATTTTTTAAATAGAATACCCTATGTTATACCACCAATTAATTATCACATTTAAAAAATTGAGAAAATCGTAACCTCACGTTTTGACAAACTCTATATACAACATAGCAAATGAGTGTAGTCAATTAAAATTGTTTGACGATGTGAAAACAATCAAATATGTATAACTACCTGCAGGGTGTTTTACTTTAAAATTGTGTAGATTTGGCCAGCACCTAGATTATGGACCACCCTGTATATTTAAGAATAACTGTTAAATATGGTCATACAACTTTTATACTAAAAATTTCTTCGTATTTCTAATAATAAAACAGCTATCGATCAATTACGCACTTATGTGTTACATATGTTATTGGCTAACATATTGGTATCGTTGTACTATAGGCAACTTTATAAGGAATTTTTTGCTAAAATAATATGCAGGGTGTTTCATTTGAAAAAATTAAGTAAATTGAACTTAAATAGCCATATTTAAGACCTGTTTCAAAACACTGTATAAAATAAACCAGTTCTATCACCACTATTTGTTAGCTTGGTATCTTATAAGTTTGTATAAATCAATTGTTAGCTCTTAATTTATATTTTCAAATTTACGCGCCGCGCCACTGACCAACGAGCGCTGTGAATGTTTTGGTCGAGACATGCTGAAGAAGCAGTAGAATGAGTTGGCCATAAGCGGCAATCGCCGGTTGTATTCTGACAATAAAATGAGTTTAATTGAATTATCGTGTTTAAATATAATTGAAAATGAGTCTGAGTGATCTAATTTCGATAAACAAATAAAAAAACTTAACACTAGTGATGCCGCGAGATGAGAGATTCTCGTCTTTCGTCTCGTCTTGTCTCGTCTCGAACGAGACGAGAGAGACATTTTCTCTCGAAAACAGATTCGAGACGAGACGAGAGAGTGTCATCTCTCGACGAGAATTTCTCGTTTTTCTCGAGCTCTCTCGGGCTCTCTCGAACAATTTTCTCTTTGCTTATTTGAAATTTTCAATTGCTTATCGTAACTAAACATTTTAACATTTTAGATTTTGAGATATTCAAAAAGTTAACTATAACTCACCTATTCTATATACAGTATGTCCCCCTAAGTTGGAATCATATGGAAAACTTTTTTATTATTAATTTTAGGAAAAAAGTTATTCTTCATAAAAAGTTCTGCATTATCTAAAACCTAGAACACTGTCATCAAATATCAAATTTTTTCAGTGGTATACGAGGTTTGTCAAAAAATATGAGTTTTACTCAAGAGTAAAGTACCTTTATTCTTTATACGACTGATAAAATTTGATATTTGATGGTTGTATTCTAGGTTTTAGATAATGCAGAACTTTTTATGACGAATTACTTTTTTTCCCAAAAATTAATAATAAAAAAGTTTTCCATAGGATTCAAACTTAGGGGGACATACTGTATATATTAAAAGGTAACAAATGATACATGTGTTAAGTATTAGGATTTTATAAATAGTGATCAATAAGAAAAATATTTCTCATTTCATTTATTTAAAATTTATACAATTATTTCTTATATTTAATCCATTCTGCTTTTCTGAGGTTACTTTTGAAGATAAGTTGAAAATTTTTAAGCGTTTTTTCGAAAAACTATCAAAGAAAAGGTAATACAAACGAATGTATTATATACAGTGAGGACGAAAATTGTACCCTCCCCTATATTAACTTCTAAATGAAAAAAGATAATGACAAAACAAAAACGAGGTACAACTCAAGAGATGTTATATTTCTCGTATTTACTAAAATAAATTAAGAATATCAAAGGTGATTTAAAAACCACTTGACGTATTAAATTTTTCATAACTTCTTAGCAAAAAAAAGCTTATTAATAAATTCTCTTCTAAGATTATCTAACATTTCTAGGATTATTGCGGCACACGAGGATTATCAAGAATGTAATTTTTGTAAAAACAAAAAAATTAAAACTGTTTGTTTAGACGTAAATATAATCAAAATATCTTTCAAATGAGGTATTGCATGATTTTACTTTCCATTAGAAAATTTAAAGATAGTAACGCCCTCTATAGTGCATCTCATTATAACAAAAATATCTTAATGTTTCTCTAATTTCACATCGTTTTTGTTTTATGTCTCTATCTTCTGGCATTAGAAAAATTATAACATCCAATTTAACCTCTTCTCCGCCCCCCTCCCCAACTGACTTAGATTAGATTAGATTTAATTAGGACTATGGGCCATGTGGCCTCCCCCACCTCGACCTTTTCAGATCTATTGTGGATATCCTTTAATCATTGTTTAGAGTACCTTGTCTAATGCGGTCTTTTGTAGTAGACTCCATAGACTGGGAAGTAGTTCTCCGGTATAGCTAGTTGCCCTTGGTTTTTCTTCTCCAAGTGTAAGGAATCTCAGTCTTACTAGACCTTCGCAGTAGCACAATACGTGTTCTGCCGTTTCCTCTTCTTCTTGACAGAATCGGCACAAGGCCTCTTCTGTCAGACCGATATTGAACATATGTTTGTTAAGCCTACAATGCCCTGTTAATAGACCTACTAGTATTCTAGTATTTTTCCTATTAAGGCTTAGTAGATGCTCGGTGAGTTTAGACGATGGTCCTTTTAAGAACTTTTTGGCCTGTCTCTGTCCTGGTGAGTTTTCCCACCACTCCTGAGATTTTTTAAACATCCACTGCTTTGTGCATGTTCTGATAGTTGTTTGTGTTACACCACAGAAGGGTTCTGGGCCAATAAGAGCATTTGATGCTCCTTCTCGGGCTAGTAAATCAGCCTCTTCATTGCCTTTGTGTCCCCTGTGGCCTGGTACCCAGGCTAAGGTTAGTCTGTTTTGACTACCCAGCTCTGTTAGGGCTTCCAAACAGTCCCACACAAGCTTTGAGTGTACCTGCATGGAACTGAGTGCTTTTAACGTCGTTTGACTGTCTGAGTATATGACAATGGTTTTTCCATTTAACTTCTGTCT